TTCCCCGAATCTGATCAAACTCTCCCACTGTAATTCTGAGAGCCGAAGTCGGATCCCTCCACTCCCTCCTCAGGCTACCGGAAGGCATCTCCTCATTCCCCAGTCACACAAAGAGAGACTGTTCAGGGCAGCATCTGGACTCAAAGATGCTAAAAATCCAAAGCCAGGACCTAGGCTGCCTCCTGCGCTTAGGAATTCTGGGCCCGTGCCCACTCTCCTAGTTTAAAGCCTTCCTTAGAAAGCCTGTGTGCGCCCCACAAGCTGCCACTTCCCCGTGGGCCGGTCCGCGGGCGCCCAGTGGGGCTGTCTGAGCCTCTGCTCGCCCCGTCTCCCACAGGCTGTCTGTTTGACCGAAGGCTCTGCTCCCACCTCGAAGTCTGTATCCAGGGTGAGTGTGGCTGGACCTGGGAGGCACAAGGGTGGGGGTGGGGGTGGAAACAACCAGAAAGAAGGGGGGAGGGGAGAGGAGGGTCCTGCGCTTTGCGGAGGAGCTGGCCTGGTGGAGCAGGTGCTCAGAAGCTAGGCCAGGAGCAAAAGACTGCTGTCCCTTTTCCACTGGGACTTTGGACAGCCTCTTGCCCAAGCCCCGTGCTGACACCACTTTTGTGCCCTTAGATGGCTTGTTCGGACAGTGCCAGGTGGGAGTGGGGCAGGTTCGGCCCCTTTTGCAAGTCACCTCCCCAGTTCTCCAGCGATTACAAGGTGTGCTCCGACAGCTCATGTCCCAAGGTGAGGTCTGGGTGCACTGGAGGTGAGATGAGGGGCGGGAAATGAGAGGCTGCCTGACCTGAAGGTCAAACTCAAACTCTCTTCCTGGACTCCCCCTATCACACCACTTTTGGAGAGGGGACAAGAAGCTTGGGAGTGGAGCTGTGTCTACTTGAACTCTTAAAGGGCCAAAAGAAGCTTCTAGAAGAAGCTACTGGAAGAGGCCAGCACCCATCTCTTTGTAACTGCCTGGGTATTCTGGAGCTAGGAATACTGTAGTCTTCAGCCAGGAGAACACCCCACCTATCCAAAATTGGGAGACTTGTTGTTGGGTGTTCTTGCGTAGGCAACATGGGATAGAATCCCATCCTCTCAGGGAGGAATTGCTTTAAATAGGAGCACCAACAGTCTGTATCATGTCAATAGGCAAGAAGGCCAGTCGTGAAGCTATAAATGCTGGGAGATTCTAGACCGCGAGTGAAGAGCCCCACAGATTCTATGTCCAGAAGCAGGGAAGGGTGAATGGGAGTGGAAGGGAGGGATGCTTCCTTTGGAGCATCCTGAGGGAAAAGCCCAGCCAGGCATCTGCTTCAGGAGGACAGGGTGGGGGGGATGATAATTGTACACATATCAAACACATGGCCAGTGCTTTCAGTTTGCTGAGTAGTCTCCCTTTCCTGAACTTACTCCGTCCTCACCACAGCCCTCAGCAGTATGTATAACCCCCCTGACAATAAAGAACACAGGGCTCGGTGTCAGCAAAGGGAACAATAATAGTAATCATCATGGTGATGGTAGGGAGAATAGTCTGTTTCGACAAGTCAGTGCATGGCAGGCACTAGTCTAAGCACCGTACTGAAGGTATGGCTCCCCATTTGATGAGGCTGGTGGACAGTTAAAGGGATTGGGCTACTTGCCCAAGGTCAGTTTGTAGGATTCCAACATAAGCAGTCTGGCAGGAAGAGGATGTCTCAGGCCATCCACTCCGCCTCTTCTCTGCCAAGCCCAATGCCCTGCAGGGCAGGAGGCATAGTCCCAATCTCCCACTGTCCCTCAAGATGTCTCGGGAACCCACTTCACCCCATCCTGTCCTCCGGCAGGACTGTCCTGGCATGATGACCTCACCCAGTATGTGATCTCCCAGGAAATGGAGCGCATCCCCCGGCGGCGCCCCCCAGACCCCTGGCCAAGGGACAGGTAGGCAGTCTTTTCAACAACTCCAGCTGGCAAGGCTGGGGGCCTTTGTGGTCATCCTGATGGACAGAGGGCAGGAGCAGCTATGGCAGCAGATTGGGCTAGGGTAGGGCCAGAGGGGCTCAGGGGTGATCACTCTCTGACTCGCCCATCCCCAAGGGGAGCCCAACTCGCTCATCCCCTCCCCGCCCTCCGGGGATCCAGCAACACAGGGCCGTTAACATTGGTGTTGAAAAACCTTGACATTGGACATTTCCACAGGATCCTCAAGATGATCAGCACTGGCAATTATTAGAATTTTTGTTGAACTCTAGTTGTGTGGGGCTTTGGTTTGGTGGCTATGTGGAATTGCGTATTGAACAGCACCACCATCTTCTGTGGTTAGGGCCCCTCAGACCCTGTAATGCCATTGAGAGTCAGTGAGGCCCACAGTGCCCAGATGTTGATTCCAGGGCGGAGGGGACAGACGTGAATGTTGAACATACACCTGGAGGGTCAGGGGTGGGGGACACAGCAAACAGGGGCAGCGGGGTCAGCACAGCCACAACTCCTGTCCAGTGTTTCTGCGGTCCTTCCTGCTCCTCCTCCCACCTCCCCATCTGCTCCCCTGCTCCCCATCTCCATCCTGAGAGCCTGAGCCTCCTGTTGTGGTCTGGGGGACACAGGCATGCTTACCAGGGAAGCAGGTGACCTCCCACCCACACCATAGTTACCCTCCTGAAGCCACTTTATCAGAATGTCATGTCCCCTGCTGAGCCTGTCTGGCCCCAACCATGTCTGCATTGTAAGCAAGCCCTGCCCTTGTCCCCACACAACCAACACCCACCCACACATACTCTGCTTTCTTCTCCAGATCTGGCTTGGCGCCCAGGAGACCTGGCCCTGCAGGAGATCTGCTTTCACAGGCCACGCCTACTGGCCCCGCCCCCGCTGCCTACCTGCTTCCTCAGCCTCCCCCAGGGGCGGGCAGAGCTGGGGCCAGCTCCTCACTGTCCCCGCTGCAGGCTGAGCTGTTGCCCCCTCTTCTGGAGCATCTGCTGTTGTCCCCGCAGCCCCCGCACCCCGCCCTGACTTATGAACCCACCCTGCTTCAGCCCTACCTGTTCCACCAGGTCAGCCCCAGTCCCTGGTTCTGCCCCAGTCCCTGCCCCTAACTCTGACTCCTGCTCTTACTGGCCTCTCTGGTTTCTTGCAGTTTGGCTCCCGCGATGGCTCTGAGGGTTCGGAGAGCCCCCCAGGGATGGTCAGTGTTGGCTCTCTGTCCAAGGCCAAACCTCCCAACTTCTTCAGCCGAGCTGCCACCAAGGGCATGTTTGGGCCCCACTCTGGCCACTCCTACGGGGACCCCCCTGGAATTTCCCCTGCTCAGCTTTTCCAGGACTCCGGGCTGCTCTACCAGGCCGTGGAGCCTCCGGTGCCCAGCAGGGTCAGGGTACCAAGGCTCCCTGAGCAAGGGGTCAGCGGCCAGGCGGACTCTGAGAAGGAAGGACTAGGGGGCCATGGGGACACACCTTCTTTTCCTGCAGGACAGCCAGGTAACAGAGTCTGCACTGTCCCCTAACCTGCCCATGGGGGCTGCTTGGGGGACTGCAGGAGCTCCACCTGGACTGTGTCCTTGAAGTTGTCCTGACACATGCCAAGGCTTTCTGACCCCCTGGCCTGTGCCAGGCACTGGGCACAGCCCAGTGAGTGAGGCAGGCCTGCGGTGGAAGAGGCAGGGTGTCCCTAATGGGCCTGCAGTTGGTCGTGGCCCCAGAGGCCTTTTCCTCCAAGGGCAGACAAGGGCTGGAAGGGGAGGGCCTCTGTGACCTGGTGTTTGGGGATAAGCTTTAAAATGGGCTAGTTTCCACCCGCCTCCCAATCACCCACCTGCACCCACCGAAGCTCTCAGTGCTGTATCTGGCTCCCAGCAGATGGGTCTCTGCAGAGGCTGGCGGCCCTACTGGCAGGCTACGGGGTGGAGCTGCGTCAGCTGACCCCGGAGCAGCTCTCCACCCTCTCGACCCTGCTGCAGCTGCTGCCCAAGGGGGCAGGGAGAAACATGGGTGAGTATGCAGCCAGGGAAACCAGCTGCTCCCAAGCGCCAGCCACCCCGGCAGCCTGGGGGGAGAGTCAGGGTGGTGGGAAGAGTGTTCTTTTGAGAGCCAAGGACACTGCCAGCCAAGGCCAGAGAACAAAGAGCAGGGTGTGAGCGGAGTAGTCTGATCGAGAGGATGGCAGGGTGGAAGTGATGGGCCCAGAAGGGTGTGGTCAGTGAGGATGGAGCCCTGCTGTCACTGCACAGAGGGAGGGCCGAGCAAAGAAGAGTGTTGACAGATGTGGCCAGGGTCCGTAGCAGCTGGAAACACCACGAGAGGAGTGGGACCACGTGGTCAGAAACCCCAAACACGCCGCCTCGAACTGGCCCTGGGGTACCTGACACTGTCAACCTTTATGGGTGTAGAAAGCCTCATCTTCCTCCCTCAGAAAAGGGGCTGGTGGGTCTGAACTGCAACCCTGTGATGCGCAGGCCAATCCATGCCTAACCCACTACGCCACCAGGGCTCCCATGCCGACAGCGAGACCAGTAGTAAGGGCTTGACCGGTGACTGAGGGCAGAGGGGCCACAGGCTCGCTGGCCCTTTCCCTCTTCCCCACTATGGGGTGTGGGCCTTTGCCTTGATTTCTCCTGTCCCTATAGGTGAGGTCACGAACGCTGATGCTGACATCAAGAAAGTGAGTTCCCAGCCCCCGCCCCCGCCCCACCCCTGACTCACAAGTACCTCATAGCAAGGCTTTCTCCTGGCTGAAATCTAAACCTCAGAATCAAGACCAACTCGCAGTAGGTGGCCCCCAAGCCTTCAGTGTGCAGGCTCTCTGAGCCAAGGCCCAGAGACTGCTGGCTGGGGTCTGAAGTCGGGCATCGAGTGAGGCAGAGCTGGGCGTGGTCATTGAGGCCAAACCCAAGTGGGTAGTTCTTGCTCTTTGCTCTGCTGCCACTTCTGACCCTGCTCTGTGGAGCCCTCACAGCACAGGGGGGTTGCGAGCGGGCAGGGCCCTGGCCCCTGTGGCCTGAGGAGCTCTGCTCCGGTCTGTGGCACATGTGATGAAATAAGCCTGAGAAACCACCTGCTGCCCTTCTCCTAGCTCCTCTTGCTCAAGGCTTTCCTGGACTCCAGGCCCAGCTTGGGCATTATTACCGACCTTGCCTCATTCATTAGTTCCTTCATCCATCCATCTAGTCATCTACTTGGCTCCCACTTGTCAGGTACCCTCACCCTCTCTTGTGCCCAGTGCAGTGCTGCCCTAGCCCTAGAGGTAGCAAGAGAAACATGTTTGAAGCCCGCTATGGGGGCTTACAGTCCAGCATAAGAGCCCCCTCCTTTCTGGCCCCAGGCTAGGCCACACCCCTCGACTCTCTTGTCCACAGCCCGTAGAACAGCAGGTCCAGGATGGAGGCACAGCAGGGCCACTGCCCCCCACACCTTCCCTGCCTGAAGCCCCCACGGGCAGCCCCACCTCCAGCAAAAGCCAGCAAGTACTGGGTTCCCCAGAGCCCCCCAAAGCTGCTACCCGCCCTGCCACACCTGTTCTGCTGGAGAAGAAAAGTCCACTGGGTCAAAGCCAGCCCACAGTCGCCGGGCAGCCCTCAGCGAGGCCATTGGCTGAGGAATATGGCTACATCGTCACTGACCAGAAGTAAGGGGCCTACAGGGCTGGGATATGTTGTCCAGGACCCTAGGGTTAGGCTAGCCTTCTTGGCAGGAAGCAGGGGCCAGAAATCCATATGTGAAAGAAACTGGGAGGTGATGAATGGCTTATTTAAAGATTCTGGGGGTCCCCCAATCTCCTTCCTCTGCCTGCTCCCCCCTCCAGGCCCCTCAGCCTGGCTGCAGGTGTGAAGCTGCTGGAGCTCCTGGCTAAGCACATGCACATGTCTTCAGGCAGCTTCATCAACATCAGGTGGGGCTGGCACCTTGCTGGGGGTGGCAGGGAGAGTGGGCAGCTGGAGGGGGAGGAGCTGCAAAGACCTAGGAGTGGGGGCAGGTAAGCTCCGGGTACAGGACCAAATGGGCCCCAGACATGCTCTCAGCTGAGCTAACACACAGCCACACCCTCCCCGCCTAACACTGTCCTGGCCTCGACACTGCATGGCATCTCTGGCTCCAGCCCCATCCTCTGGTGGGAGAGGGCCACGAGCGAGGGAGGGTGGGGTGGGGTGCTCTCTGGCAGAGGCTTGGGTGCTGGTGGGTGAGGCAGTAACGTGGCTCCAATTTGGCAGTGTGGTGGGACCGGCCCTGACCTTCCGCATCAGGCACAACGAGCAGAACTTATCTCTGGCTGATGTGACCCAGCAAGCTGGTAAATCCTGCCCTCAGCCCCAGCCTGAGCCCCAACTTGAGTGGGTCACACGCAGGCCTGCATGGTGTGCCGCGGGATGGGAGTCGGGTGGGGCGGATGGCTTGCTGCTGGGGAGAGTCTGACCCACTTCCTCCGTGCAGGGCTGGTGAAGTCAGAACTGGAAACCCAGACAGAGCTCCGGATCTTGCAGACCGGAGTGGGACAGGTATGAGCTACCTGGAGGCTCAGGCAGAGCCCCAGAGGGCTGACATTGTCTGCAAGCGATGGAGGCAAACCTGGCCAAGAATGGCAGGTGGCCTCTCCCTGCAGTTTTTCTTTTGGCCAGCAGAAGGCTCCAGTGACTCCTCCCAGCATGTCCAAGGAGGACAGTCCCTTTGACCAGAACTAGCTGAGATGCTCATGGCCCGTAGCCTGCAGGAGCAGCCCCTAAACTCCCCAGGGAAATCCCCACACTGGAAGGACATTGTACTCAAAATACATTTCCATGCTGTGTCCCGCACAGGCGCCTCACATTCTACGATTCAGTTCCTTGGGTAGGGCATTATCCCCCACCTCCACTTTTAAAATGAAGTGTTGGGCCCTTAGTGTGGTGAATCAGTGGAGCAGGGGGATTGAGGAGGCTCTCAGGACCACCAGAGGCACCTACCCTCCCAGCTTGGCCCCAGGCATGTTCTCCTGGGGAGGGAGGGCCCCTGATGGCAGCCTTGTCTCCCCAGCGGGAGGAAGCCGCTGCTGTCCTTCCCCGGGCAGCCCACGGAACCCCGCCCGTGCGCTCTGTGCTGCTTACTCTGGTGGCCCTAGCTGGCGTGGCAGGGCTGCTGGTGGCCTTGGCGGTGGCTTTGTGTATGAGACAGCATGCTCGGCAGCAGGACAAGGAGCATCTGGCAGCTTTGGGGCCTGAGGGGGCCCATGGGGACACCACCTTTGAGTACCAGGTACGCAGCCCCAGGAGCTTGTTGAGGAGAGGAATCGGAGTTGGGGGAGGGGGCTGGCATGGCCTGGTGGCCTATTGGTTATGCGCTGAGTTGCTAACCACAAAGTCAACAGTTTGAAACCACCAGCTGCTCCTCGGAAGACAGACCGGGCTTTCTAGTTCCCTAGAGAGTTACAGTCTCAGAAACCCCCAGGGGTAGTTCTGCCCTGTCCCAGAGGTC